CAGGGGTTAATGGTAACTCCAAAATCGCGTGAAGTTGATATTATGAAAATATCACCTGTAGACCAGTTAATATAAAAAATATCACCTAATATTTTCTTCTGAGACAATATGAAGTTATTAAATATCATCTTAATATTAGCTAATACGATATTTTATTTATTAAAGGTTGCGTAATCGGGTTAAATTAACCAATCAGATGTCGGTAACGCTCGAATAGCTGAAATATTACTAGTCAACCGTGAGGGAGGGACAATTGTGAGAGCGATCGCCTTTGTCTGTGTCACAGTGAAATACAAGAGCAAATACTCGAGCAAATACTCGTCAGTCTTAAAACCCTACTGCTTTTCTAGAACCTGATCGAAAAAGGTATTTGAAGGTGGCAAGAAACGTAGTTAAGTGGGAATATATCATAAAATATTAAGTAGTATCTAATAATAATTAATTCTCCGAGTTAATATTAAAATATTATGTAAACTTTTGCAAAAATGAGTTACTATTTAATATCGAAAATACTACTATTACTATCAAAAATATCATATTACCATTAGCCCCTGAGTAAGGTACATACATATGCGCTCGTAGGAAAGTGGTGTACTAACGAAAGTTAAAAAGAAGCCTCCTTAACTATTTATTAAATTTATGGGCTTACTACATGTAGAGCATGTGGGGGACTGATGGCCATGCTTTCGTCGTCGATATCGATGAAGTAGCACGTGGCCACCATGCTGACATCACAAACAACAACCTCTGAGACTGGTGGTATGTTTGCTTGGGACGGGTCCATTAGCATGGGTTCGTAGTCTCGGGATGGAGACGTGTTAAATGCACTTGCTGTGCCTTGCTGAATCATCTCGAAATCGCTGCAGTACGGAGTGGCAGAAGCTACCAGGAAACCGGTACCCCACGTCTTCATCATGATATCGTCCATCCATGGCCAGAAGAAGGAAATGTTAGTCTTGTCAAGGAAAACAACGCTAAGTGTTGGAGAAGGACTTGTCACGTTGCGCGGTAGCTCATTGAGATTCATATGTCCGAGTCCCAAGGTTTGGAGCCCTGGAATCTCGAACACCTCGGCCGAAATTATAGTCATCGGATTGCCAGTAACAAACAAGTATTCCGGTTCGAGCCGAAGGAGTTCTGAAGGAATGCTCGTCAACTGGCTGTACTCGAACTGTATTTGTGCGTTCCGGGGCCACTTGAGGTCGAGATCTTGTGGAATCGCCTGCAGGTTTGTGACGCAGAACTCGATATCGCGAAGATTGGGCGGGAAATCGAGCGAGTGCAATCCCGCAGGCAACACACCGTCGGTCATGTTGACACGGACAAGGTACAGTGATAAAACGTTTGGGTGGTTCTCACTCGTGAATGCAGCTGAGTCATCCCAGTCGACGATTGTCGAGTTGTACACTTTGACGCCATGAAGACTGTGGAACTTGCTAATGGAAGGTGGGATCTCTAACGTCGGACAGTGGCGAATGAGAAGTTGAACGACAGTAGAGCTGTCGAATTCACTCCAACTCTCCTCCACTTCGTTCATTTCCCCCGAGATTGCCAACGTGTGGCAATCAAGACCGACTAAGTAACAGGATGGACGTGATGTTGCCCACGGTCGAACTTGTAGTAAGCACTGACTTAGTGTTGGCTGCATAGACGCGTGAATGTGTAGTCCTAGTACTACAACCCCCCATGCTCCAAAGAATAGATGAGCTGCACGTAGCATTAGTCGTGCACATTGGGTGCGCAGCCTAGTGCCACGATAGCTGCCAGCGGGTTTAATGGGCATTACCAGCTCTGAAGGCTTGAGATTTGGCTGTTGTGGTAGCGTGGGAACAATAGTCGTAGATTTTTCACCCCTGGTTTGGTCATTCTCAGTATCCAGGCTTGCAATTTTATGGCACCTCTGTTGTGGAAGGCATTGCAGCAATTCCTTCATATTTGTGGTTGTAAGTATTAGACCCAGTGAGAAGATGGCGCGACTTGCCAAATCCGACAAAGAGACCACGAAGACCATCCGAAATTCATTTAAAGCTCGCGCTGCCCACTCATCGTTTTGCCACATGAAGTCCCAGAATCCCATCACACTTACGTTGTAGTCACTTGCATAGCTTAGCACAATCATGAGCTCCACACCCACACAGGAGATCAAGTCCAGGACACAATCTAAGACGATACATGCGAATCGCCTACTTGCCTCGTCGCCCTTGAAAAACACAGAGTAGACCAGGACAGACGACCAACAATTCGCCACTAGTAAAACCACGTAAAACCCGGTTAAGCATCGTTCTTGGCAACAACGAGCTCGTGCGGTAAGCTTGGATGGTTTGCAACCCCTGTCTCAACAACTTCTCGAAGTATGAGCAGTACATGAAAGTGAGCTCCATTGACCCCCGAAAAATCCCTTGGCGATCAGAAATCTTTGGGATAAACTTTCGTGAAAACTTTGCACTTATAAATTGGAATTGGGACGACCCTGGGTGCGGGCGGGGGGGATATCTGGGGGAGGGGTGTCGTCATGGCCCTAGAGAGAAGAGGGAAAAAGAAAGAAGATGGAATATAGGCCCCCAGAGGTATGGGAGGGAGGGAGATAGGGCGGAGGTGTTGGGAAAATGCATAGTACATCGCACAAGGATAT